GCAGAATAGAGGAACTCTGCACATACACTTTTTGCCGGAAACCGCTGTATGGAGGGAATGTCCCAGAACTGTCAGAAATAGACTATTTCTGACAGTTCTGGGACATTCCCTCCATACAGCGGTTGAAACCGCTGTATGGAGTGAATGTCCCAGAACTGTCAGAAATAGACTATTTCTGACAGTTCTGGGACATTCCTTCCATACAGCGGTTGAAACATTGTATCTATTTGTTTCCATAAATGGATCCATTTTATGGAAACAAATAGATACAATGTTTCAACCGCTGTATGGAAGGAATGTCTCCTTCTCTCTTCTCTCATCCTTCTCCTTCTTCTCATCCTTCTCCTTCTTCTCATCCTTCCTTCTCATCCTTCTCCTTCTTCTCATCCTTCTCCTTCTCCTTTTCTCATCCTTCTCCTTCTTCTCATCCTTCTCCTTCTTCTCATCCTTCTCCTTCTTCTCATCTTCTCCTTCTTCTCATCCTTCTCCTTCTTCTCATCCTTCTCCTTCTTCTCATCCTTCTTCTCATCCTTCTCCTTCTTCTCATCCTTCTTCTCATCCTTCTCCTTCTTCTCATCCTTCTCCCTTCTTCTCATCCTTCTCCTTCTCCTTCTTCTCATCCTTCTCCTTCTTCTCCTTCTCCTTCTTCTCATCCTTCTCCTTCTTCTCATCCTTCTCCTTCTCCATCTTCTCATCCTTCTCCTTCTCCTTCTTCTCATCCTTCTCCTTCTCCTTCTTCTTCTCCTTCTCCTTCTTCTTCCTTCTCCTTCTTCTCATCCTTCTCCTTCTTCTCATCCTTCTCCTTCTTCTCCCTTCTTCTCATCCTTCTTCCTTCTCCTTCTTCTCATCCTTCTCATCCTTCTCCTTCTCCTTCTCCTTCCTCATCTCCAAGGGCATTTAAATTAAAGGTACAGTGTTCTGCACTAATTTAAAGGCTCTCTGAAGCCTAGAAACCCTTTTAATAAGTTAACTTCTTCTCATCCTTCTCCTTCTCCTTTCCTTCTCTTCTTCTCATCCTTCTCCTTCTTCTCATCCTTCTCCTTCTCCTTCTTCTCATCCTTCTCCTTCTTCTCATCCTTCTCCTTCTCCATCTTCTCATCCTTCTCCTTCTCCTTCTTCTCATCCTTCTCCTTCTCCTTCTCCTTCTTCTCATCCTTCTCCTTCTTCTCATCCTTCTCCTTCTCCTTCTTCTCATCCTTCTCCTTCTCCTTCTTCTCATCCTTCTCCTTCTCCTTCTTCTCATCCTTCTCCTTCTCCTTCTCCTTCTCCTTCCTCATCTCCAAGGGCATTTAAATTAAAGGTACAGTGTTCTGCACTAATTTAAAGGCTCTCTGAAGCCTAGAAACCCTTTTAATAAGTTAACTTCGTAGCGAATTAATTCGCATCGAATCGAATTTCATACTGGAATTCGCCGAATCAGCCGAATCGAATTTTTGAGAAATTCGCTCATCTCTAATGATGATGTAACTTCTGGGCACATGTGCAGGAATGGCATCATTGCAGCCCAGCCAATCAAGTTGTCAAAGAGTCTGAACCCAGAAGGATGGCAGGGAGAAGAGGGAAGTGTCCATGACAGCCGAGAGCTCTGCCATGTAGTGTTGGAGGAGATTGCTTGGCAGGTAGGTCTGCCATAAGGTGTTAATATGCTGTTCATTATGGCCAGGGGCCATTTTGTGGGGAATAAATTTGGTTTTAAGTGTCAGCAATTGCAACCAAAAATACATCTCAAAGGTAGGGCCACAGACAGCAAAAACATCTAACAGTGGTTTAAACTTTTCCCACTCTATTCCATAAAAAGGCAGGATGTAGGATTGCTAACTAGCAGTTTTTCATCCAGGCTTCCAGCGAGGCCCAAATGGCCTACTAGTATGACAATAAAATTAATAAATGTTTTATAAAGCTGCACATTTGCAGATATTAGTGTTAACTGTTATCCCTCCTTTAGTGATCTAATGGGTGGGGATAGTGCCACTTTATATGCCAGCTGCAGGTGGGGCCCTTTGCATTTGGGGTATTGAAGCAGGACACCTCTAATCTGCAGAGATGTAGTGCTGAGCTGAAGCTAAAATAAAAAGGCTTTTGTAGGGCTGAACTGCCAGGGTGGTGAGTGAAGACACATTGGGGACAGACAGAGAATTGACCCACCCAACCCTTGCTTAGCGGCTCCCATGGCTTAGTCTAGAGTGGCCCTGGGCCTATGGAGGATTTCCTTTCTGTGAAAAAAGAAAAACCTTAAAAAAAGAAATGGATACATCTTCTAAGGCCAGGTAATATGCAAATTAATATATTTTATTCTTTGACAGCTGCCAATTAGGTTCACCATGTGCCTACTTAAAGCGGAACTAAACCCTCCTATCATTTTTAGCCAATGAAGCTGCCATCTTGGCCTCTGTTTGATCCGCAACTGCCATGGTACTGCACATGTGATCAGTTATGACACCAGACATTTGGGGGTTTATTTACTAAAGCTGGAGAGTCCAAAATCAGACTCCCTTCTGCATAGAAACCAATCAGCTTCTAACTTCAGCTTGTTCAATGAAGCTTTGGCAATGAAACCTGGAAGCTGATTGGTTTCTATGCAGAAGGGAGTCTGATTTTGGACTCTCCAGCTTTAGTAAATAAACCCCTTGATGTTTTGACAGTTTAGTTGTCAGAACAAGCAAATGTGACAGTTAGAATTCCCTGCATGCTAGGAATGTAACTGTTTTTTTAAACTGTTAAATCAATTGGTTAAGTTCTACTTTAAGAAAATCAGTAGCCAAAATTAAAACTAAATTTCATGTATTCTCTTGTTGCTTGATAAATGCTTACAGCTTGATATAGTCATGTTCCCATAATGACTGTAAAAATGACCATTATGCACTTGTTTACATTGACATGCGATAAGTAAATAAGACTTAATTACAAAAGTAGACATAAAAATTTTATTGGCAATCATATGTATCACAATATTAAAAATGACATTTGTTCTTTATTAGTGATAGTAACATATTTAATAACTGGATGTTGACAACAGGAAATACAGTATATTCCAGATTTTCTGTTGCACCTCATTATGGTTGCTTCTGTCCCATTATATTTTTTACCATAAACGAAAAAGCAATCTCCATATTCATAATTGATTAGTAAAATGTTTAAAAAAAAATATATGCTAATGTTGTTTTTTTTCCATTGATGCATCTTTACTGTATGTAGGCAGTAATAAAATCCATGCCATTACACTATGGCTGGCCATTTATTATACAACTTTCTTTAGAATTTTCCTTTAGATTTACAAAAACCATATAATATGAGGTCAAACCTAAACACTTTCAATTTGTATGCAATCAGACAGGCACTACATAGCTGAAGGTAAATCTAAAGGAAATTGAATAAGAAAACTATATAATGTGCCAGCCTTAGGCTAAAAGCACACTTCTCAGATGCAGTGTGTTGTGGTAATATTGTGTGCATTAGTGCATTGAGGTGCCATTTATTTTAATAGGAATTCAAATGCACATGCATTGCAACATACCACAATGCATAGTAAGGCACTACCATGCATTGTGGTGTGCTGCGTTGCCATAAAAGGTGCACGTCCAATTTGTTTTTTAACCATTTGATAAATTGTCAGCTCATTCAATTTAATAGGCTTCCTTAACTTATGTTAACACAAGGATTAATGCATATGAACCAGTACACCAAGGTCTGAATGGACCCTTATATGAGAACTACTGTGCACTGGTAAATTGTGACAATTCCAAGTATAAATATTTAATATAATGTTTATTCACAGACTGCCTCTAAAAAATCATATTAACAAAGAATACACTGCTTCAGGGAGTACACTGTACATCTGTGTATATACTACTGGCATAAACTGTAAACAGCAACATCTTTCCATAGGGAGTCATAGTACAGAATGCGGACTGCAGTGTCATTGTGGACCAACACTGCAGCCTATTTCTAATTTGTCAGAGCTGGAGATAACTTATATGAACATGTTCAAACTGGAAAAGTAAAGATACCAAAGTGACAGCTTTTATGCTTTTAAGAAGCAGGGGCAGACTGACCATTTGGAAACTTGGGCACTGCCCGAGGGCCCCGAGGTCAGTAGGGGGCCCTATGAGATGCCCCTGGAACCTTTTTCATAGGCTTTTTTGAGTTTGGGCAAGGACACAGGGGCCCCATGATCCCCTATTGCCCGGGGGCCCCATGAGTTGTCAGTCCACCCCTGTTAAGAAGTATTAAACACAAAAACTAAACTTTAATATATTGCAGCTTACTAATCCTTATGTGCTGGCTGCAATCGTCTTTTTTTCCTTTACTTTCAGCTGGTGATTCAGCCAATAACATACGTCAGTTGTCCACACTCAGGACTGAGGAGCAACAGAGATACCTGTGGACAGCAGCATTGTCAATCTGGGGAAAGGATAGTGTAGGCTGGCCATACACTATACAATTTTCTTACAATTTTCTGTCCAATTTCTGCCCAATTTCCTTTAGATTTACCTTCAACTGTGTAGTACAAGGGCCTGCCTAATTGGATACAACTGAAAGTGTTGTTTGGGTTTGACCTCCTATTATGTGGTTTTTTGGTAAATCTAAAGCACAAATCTCGAAAATTGTATAATGTATGGCCAGCCTTAGATGTACTAGTGGACTTGACTAACAGTGATAAATGGATTTTCTCAACAATCTGTCACTTTGTCTGGATGGCTTGGTCTGTTAATAGATGTAGAAAAATGACAGACTTAGTAGCCAGATCACCAGGTAAAAAGAAAAAAAATTAAAAAAGACTAAAAAAAGAAAACAAATGCATCCAACACATTTAAGAATTGTTAAGCTGCAATATAGTACAGTGTTGGTTTTTGGTTTAATACCGCTTTAAAAATCCCATTCAATTAAAAGCTAAATGCAAAAAAAAACCTTGGTGATTGGATACATTACAGAACGTTTAATACAAAATAATTGTAACAGGAGACTTTTTTATGTGTCACAATAATTGCTTATAGGGTTTATTAAGGAGCGGGCAGTTTCTGAGGTTCGTTTCTCAGCCTCTTTTCTTCTACTATACGCTCATACAGTTGTGCCAAGTCTTCTCTAGGATCCATTTCACAGCCTCCCTCTCTCACCCAGTACACATCTACAAATCCACCAGAATAGGCATCTCTTCGGCCTGCATGGCACACTGCTCTTCTAGCAAGCTGGCGGGCTTCTTCTTCATTCAATCCAGGTTTGTACCCATCATCAATAATGCTGTAGGCATATGGAGAGCCTGATCCAACAGACAGAATATCTGAGCAGAGACGGGTTCCATCATTATATACATAACAGATGCAAGCACCATCTCTGTCCCAGCCACATAAAGTAACAGCAGCACAGATATCAGTTCCACGGAATGGCATCATCAGGACGCTCAACATTCTAGCTGCTCCTCGAACACTTGGCATGTATCCATTCCGCACCTGGTAAAGCCTGCACTCTCTGGCCAAAACTCGTCCAAAGAACTGGCAATCAGCAGCACTGCCTGAAGTGGTGGCTAGCAAATGACTGTGGATAAGAAATGCTTTGCGGCTGTCAGGGCTGCAGATCAGCTTTCCAGCAGAGGAGCGTGAGTCTGTTGCAACAGCAACACCATCTGCATACAGAAAGGCAAGGGTGGTAGTGCCATGTGCTGGTGGCGGGGGACCCGTGCTGCGATGGTCAGAAGAAGAAAAGTCATGAGCTCTCTGAAGTACACAAGGAGCATGTGATATAATCATATTTGAAATGGAACCCCCCCCCCCCCCCCCCCCCCCCCCCCCCCCCCCCCCCCCCACAGTTCTGCATACATTGCATACATTGCCTATACCACTTATGCAAAGCCAACTGGTTACATTAAGTAATCACACATTAATTTTAAAATAAAATGTCTTGTATTCTTTCTTTGCACGGCATCTTTGCATGCTGTATATGATATTTGTTGCTGCCCTTGGCCACTAGAATTGTTTGTACAATGAGTAATATTTTAAACAGAGCTAACATTATTTAAATTCCGATTATTGCAGTCTGCAGATGTTCCCAAGAGGCTGCAATGTGGAAGTATTTCTCAGCTTATTTGTGCAAATCCTAAACTAACATAGAACTTAGCTTCTATATTTTTCCAGTGCACACACTAATGCACCAAACATGTACAACTTTTCTCAACCTTTTCACCCCTGAGGAACCCTATGAAATAATCTTCAGCTCTAAGGGAGCCCCTGCTGAAAATCATTATATAAACAGATTATGGTACTTTAGTGTGATCCTTAAATTGTAGATACAAGAATAAAGAAAGAATAAAGAATTTGGTATACCCAGAATGCCCCCTTGCATAGACAGTCAGTGGAAAAGTGCCTCTTAAACTGGTGGTTAGTGTAGCACCCCCTTACATTGGTGGTTAGTTTAGTGCCCCCTTACATTGATGGTTAGTGTTGCACCCCCTTACATTGGTGGTTAGTTTAGTGCCCCCTTACATTGGTAGTTAGTGTAGTGCCCCCTTACACTGGTGGTTAGCTTACTGCCCCCTTACATTAGTAGTTAGTGTAGCACTGCCTTACATTGGTAATTAGTGTAGTGCCCCCTTGCATTGGTGGTTAGTCTAGTAGATCCTTAAATTGGTGGTTAGTGCACTGACCCCTTACATTGGTAGCTAGAGTAGCACCCCCTTACATTGGTGGTTAGTGCAGTGCCCACTTAAATTGGTGATTAGTGTATTCTCCCTTATATTGATGGTTAGTGTACTACCCACTTACATTGGTGGTAACTGTAGTATCCCCTAAGTTTTTTGGTTAATGTAGTGCCCCCTTATATTGGTGGTCAGTGTAGTACCCCCTTAAATTGGTGGTCAGTGTAGTACCCCCTTAAAATTGGTGGTCAGTGTAGTACCCCCCTTTTATTGGTGGTTAGTGTAATACCCCCTTCCATTGATGGTTGTAGTACCACACACCTGGTGGGGTTGAGGCCGCCCCCTCCTTCTGCTCTTTCCTCCTACAGTGGAGTGATATTCAGCGTATCCACATTGGGACTCTTCAAATTATACACTTGAGTCGGGTCAGATATCCATATAGCATTGCATTTTTTACTACTGGCACTGCTACAGAGGGACTTTTTGGGGGACCTGTTCCATCCTTGCAGGACAGGGGGGCTTAGGGACATACAGGGAGGGGTGGATGGGGTTGTCCTGTGTGCTCTGGAGTGGAGTGGTGGGGGCCTGTTCGAGTGGTACTGGGATTATTTAGGGGGTGAGGGTGCGGGGTGGTGTGAGGGGGGGACTGGTGGGGAGTGAAGGGGGTAGTGTTGGACAGGACTGGGGTACATACATTTATTAGGTCTACAATAAATACTGCTGTAGTAGCCTTTTAGGTGCTATATCCTTCTCTGTGGGTTTTTTTCTGTAGTGTACTGTTTTTGGATGCATCTCCCCTATTCAGGGTTAGGAACTGGCAGATATACCATTCCCAGGACCAGGCCTATGGCAGTGGGGTTTTTTTTTACATATGGTATTGTCATGGAAATTTTGTATTGTTGGTCGAACTTTAAATGTGTCATATATTCGTGTTATTCATATGTCTCTCGTGTGGCTTAATTAAAGCTCTGAAGGCTGCAATTGGGCCATGCGCATGTACAATGTATGTATTACAGTACTCAGCTTGGTAATGGATGAGATGGCAGATCTGCGCTTATAGACCGGCGTGTATACCACCACGGCATTCGATGCGAATGTCGCTGGCAGTAGACCGTGGGCCTGTATCCACATATCAGCAGCATAGTACCACGTGGGCTTCATAACGCAAGGCGCCAAGCGGTACGAACTCCGCGTGTAGGCTTATGCATATCTTACAACCCATTACCAACTTGAAACTGTATCTTGGATGGATGTGTTTTAATAAAGATCGTATCGGGCCCATCCAGGTACAGACTGATATTTTTAGGGAGTGCTTGTACAGAGAATTTACATACCAATAGAAGCTAGTAGGACAGGAAATATGACCTCAGATGGCTCATGGGGGGGAAGGGGAGGAAGTCTGCTGACCTCAGAAGACTCATGGGGGAGGACCAGTGATAGATAATAGGAAAGGCTATGCTCCAATTGGAATATACATCCTGTGTATAGGCACTCCCCATTGCATTGTTTGGTGGGAGGGGATTGACTTTATTCATGTGGGGGGCATGTGTGTATTTTTAATAAAACAGAGAGCTGGGTCTAAAACCAGCCCGGATGTGAGTTGCAACACCATCCTGAGAGTGTCGTGTGATCATTCTAGGGTAACAGAGCTCTAATTCCCCCACATCTCAACAGAGCCAAAGTATTTGAATGGGCAGGAATCGTGTAGTAGTTTGGCTGCAGTCGTGGTAAGCAAGATTCGCACAGCTTTATGGGGGATTTCTGCGCATCCAACTGCGAGTACTCACGGTAAGGAGAAATTCGTTAAAGCGAATTTCCAAGACAGTTTGGCGAGCCTGGTGGATACTAACGCGTTTTCTTGCATAGCTAACCAAGAACGGGGGGGAATGAGCCATCATGAACTAGCAAAAAGTATGCCCGGCACATTTCAGGTCTCTCTGCCATTAAGAGGATCGCTTTTTGCGTGTTCGTGTGGCTGATTTCGCTCTCTGTTAGCTAACAAGAATTACCGCTTGGCAAGGACCTAGTTTTTGTCCTAAACTCTTGATTTGTGGGTGAAAGACAAGGGTTTGTCTCTGCGGAGAGCAGCAGAGGGGTGGGTTTGGTTGGCTGGATTTGGTCAAGTTTAAAAATCTTCCAACCAAAAATTAAATGGGTATATGTTTTAGCGGGTAAAAGTTGTTGCATAGTGTTAGGTAAGTATTTGTGGGTTGTAGGTACTGTGGTAATTGCTCTACCCCCCCCTCCACGTGAGGTAATTATTACAGTGCTGAAAGGTTTAGGTTAATTGTTAACTGTTGTAAGATCTTTGTATGTAGTCTGTGCAGTGTTTTGTGGTACTACTGCTCCCAGCAAGCATGCAGCAGGGGGTCCTTTCTGTTACATGTGCATGTTAGTGTGATATGTTGGTGTTTTATGTCCGTTCTGTGATTGTGCCCAAATTGTGTTGTATGTGTACTTCATATTGTTGTGTAATTGTCCAGTGTATGTTCTGTCCAAAAGTCTGTTTTGTGTAAGAGGTTAGAGGCAATTTTGAGGCTAGAATCTGCCATGTGCTCCTCTGTGGGGGGGCCATTCTAGTGTTACCATGTGCTTCCCTGTGGGGGGTAATTCTAGTATCTGCCGTGTGCTCCTCTGTGGGGGGTCATCTTCTTGACTAACCACATGGACTCCTTTTGTTTGGTGGCCATTTTGTTGACTACCATGTGCTTTCCCTGTTGGTGGCCATTTGTTGACTACCACATGTGCAGTAATCTCTATGCAATGTGTATGCAGCTTTTCTATATGCATTTGACCCATATTGTGTTTTTTAATCCAAATTTTTTACAGTTTCATTTGTTTGCTTTTAGCTTTAAAATTTGCGTATTGCCGGCCAATTTAAAGTGTGTTAAGCGAGTTTTCCCTTCACGTGTTCCACATTTAGTGAGCGCGGTGAAGTCTGGGTTTTTGCACATAGATTTCTTGTATAGTGATTATGTTTTTCTTGTGTTTTTCCCTGTTAAAAGTAGTTTCCTTATTGTAAAGCGGGTTTGTTTTAAGCTGCTGTGTCACGTGTTTCGCGTCCAGCAGACTTTTTGTGTAAACGGTTTTAGGTGGGTTGCAGTGAAGATTGCGTGTGTAACGTGGATCGTTTAGCGGTGCTGGTATGAGTGATTTTTGCGTCAGCAACAAGGTTACTTTTGGCGCAGTTTTTTTCGGTTTACCTCTGTGTAATTGTTTTACTGTGAAACGTCCCGTGTTTTTCATAAGGATCCACTTTGTCCTTTTTAACAGTTTTTCAGGTTGAAAAAGGGTTTTTCTGTGTGTATTAGGAAAGTTTTTTTCTTTACACAAATTTCCTAAAGGTCAGTTAGCAGGTTTCTGCCCAACCAGTGACCCCTAAGTAACATCCAAGAACCCCTCTTTTTGTTTTGACTTGTGTTAGCTACTGTGTGCAGGGAGAGAAAAGCCACTTTCATCATTGTGCGGTGTGGCCTGCCAAACACAGTGGGTGATGAGAACCACATAAATTACGCTGTGGGAGTGGGCAGTCCAGGGAAGTAACACTTAGCCTGGTTACCACAAACACTTCGGGTGGTCAGGATCACATAAATTGCGCTGTGGGAGAGTGGGAGGTGTGCTCTCAGTCTGACCGCCACTTGATGCGCTTCGGGTGATCGATAAGTATCACATAAATTACGCTGTGCTGGGAAAGTGGTGGAATCAGGCCTCTCGGTAGGATCCCACCGAGTGCTCCAGGGGGTAAACAGGTACCCGGACGCGGGATATATACCAGTGACTAGTCACGATGGGCAGTAGTCAGTCCATGAAGAGAGAGGGGGAACCAGCCCTCTTCAGGGTAAGGACAGCTGCACAACTGATGAAGGTGAGTTTGGGGGGGAAGTCTACAGAACCCCTCAAAAGGTGGAATAAATGGTCGAAGGGTACCAGATGGGAAATTCCCCGGGAAGGTACATTTGACGCATGGAGGTGGGAAAAATTCATCTCTGAATTTGAACCACGGATGCAGGCGTCAGAACTAGAGATCGCACAGCTATGGCTTCACAGGTCAATCCAATTAGGGAAGCAGGGCATACATAAACTGGTGTCTGTCCGGAAGAACCAGGTGATGTATAC